GGGAAGGTTATTTCCTCCTATTTCCCGCCACCATATCATGCAAGCACCGACCCGGATGAGGTATCTCGGGAACTTTCCTTGGACCATGGCATGTAACTGTGCCCAACTATGAGTGACCCATTAATGGTGTTATCAATAAAATATTAAATATACTTTGCTTCTTTTGGAGCATTTTAATTAAAATTATAATATTTTTCAGGATCATTCATATTGAAGTGTGTAAATTTATGATTCTTCAAGAATAATTACATAATATTCTTCAAAAATACTGTAAAATATTTATGCTCTTTCGAGATCAATATATATATTATGATATGCATAAATTTGTATTTCTTCGGGAACAACATAATATTTTTTGAAAGTATGAACACAATATTTCTTCAATATATTATTTTGATATGGAGTCATGCTTCTTCAAGAGCAACGACCTAATATTCTTTCGAAAATTATTTAGATTTATACTTCTTTAAGAATAATAATAATAATAAATTATATTCAAGCAAATATATATATCTAGCCATAGATTGTCAAAATAATTTTTATCGCTCTGTTATACAATCCAAATTTAAGAAAATGCAGAAATTTTTTATTTTTTTTGGAACAAAAAGAGGAGTTTATTTATAAGTTCATTTGGTTAAAATTTCATCTTTCTTGGTCAGAGATTCATGTGTAGAAAGAGAACTCAATTGGCTAGAACTTCGTGTTGATAACGTGTTATTAAAAAAAAGCCATTAGACTTGTGTATTTAGCTTATTAAGAACCAAAACTCCATATTTATAGGGGTAAAATAATCATCACAGATAGTACTTCATATACATCACAAACGTCATTTTTGGACAATAATTCCCTTACTAGTATTTTATAATTCCTTATTTGTCCTTCAGTTATTATTATGTATTTTAATCATAATTACCCAATCTAATGCATCCCCACACCAAAAAAATCAGACTAAATTGATCCGAATGCAGTCTTTTTGAATGAAAAATTATATGTTCTTGGACAAAAATAATTTAGAAATGAGACATCTTAATTCTAAAGTTGTATTTTTTGACACACAGCTCTCCAACTATTATGTATAGCATCCCCTAGCTGTAGAATCACACACAATCATGTTGTTGCATATTCACTTCAAAAAACCTCTAGCATTTATTTTGAGTTTGATTTTCATAAAAAAAATAGTTAAAAACGCTGGTCGGTTCATTGTTCTATGTAATTTGGA